ACAGTTATCTTTGGAGACTAGACTAGACTAGAGTAGACTAGACTAGACTAGAATATTTGGAAGGGACTTTGGAGGTCTTCTAGTCTAACGCCCTGCTCAAACAGGAAACCCTATAGCATTTCAGACAAATGGTTATCTAATCTCTTCTTTAAAACTTCAAGTGTTGAAGCATTTAAAACTTCTGGAGGCAAGTTGTTCCCCTGATTAATATTGAATGTCATGCAAAACACCAAGGGGTCATGAGTTGGTTTGTGGCCTAATTCATGTGTAATCTATATTTTACAAGACTACCCATATATTCAAGTACTAGGTTCTAGGATCTATTTTTTTCTTTCTCAATACAGGTAGTTCTCAACTTACCACAGTTTATTTAGGGACCATTCAAAGTTACAATGGCACTAAAAAAAGTGCCCATTTTTCCCACTTACGGTTGTTGTAGCATCCCCATGGTCATGTGATCAAAATTCAGACGCTTGGCAACTGTCCCATATTTATGACGGTTACAGTGTCCTGGGGTCATGTGATCAGCTTCTGTGACCCTCTAACAAGCAAAGTCAATGGGGAAACCAGATTCACTTAACAACCGGGTTACTAACTTATCAACTGCAGTGATTCACTTAACAATTGTGGCAAGAAGGGTCATAAAATGGGGTGAAACTCCCTTAACAACTGTTTCACTTAGCAGCAGATATTTTGGGCTCAATTGTGATCATAAGTCAAGGACTACCTTTACTTCTCATTTTTATGCTCTACACTGTAGAGTTTACAGTCTGAATGAGTTTAGCACTAATTGACTTTGTACCTGTAAAAACAAACTGTTGCTTTGCTAGCTAGCATTTTTAATATTCAGATAACTGTGCCCTACCATTTTTAGCCCCTTATATGTAGCTGATGAACCAGTAACTTGCAAAAATCCATGCTATAATAATGCAGTTTATCTTTAAGTCACCACGACACCCAATATTTCTTTTGTTAAAAAAAAATAGCTAAAAACAAAGTCATAGAGGGCAGAAGAGCATGCAAAGTGAAGCAGAGTTTGCCACTTAGTATGTCTACATCTTTCCATTAACCCCCCTCTCCATTAAATACTAGTTACTGCCTATCTGGAAATGGTTTCAAAAGGCAGGTGCCTTGCTCTCCTAGCCAAAAGGAGGATGGGCTATCCACAGGAGATCAACAAAATTAGGCTAGCCTTGAAACTGTCAAGTTGAACTAACACTTTTTACAAAAATGGTTGCCTATCAAAACAAGAAAGATGAAGATGCCAGTCCAGAAAAAAAGTGTTGTTAAGGCCATGCAATAGGATGTTAATAGCTCCCATTTGCCCAACCTTGTTACTTAGATCGAGCACCCAAGCAGGGGAATGAAGCACATCCCAAATTATTTTTGGCTACTGATCTGTACATCCCCAATGAATGCAAGAATCACCAAACTTGGGGTAGTAGGGGAAGGGATTCTAGATTTGCTTTGCTTCCAGTTGGACCAAAAATTATTTGTCTCTGATTTCCATTGTACCTTTCTTAAGCCAGCTTTTGCAGCCCTGAAGCATTCAGTCCTCAGTCTTGCCCTCACCAAGTAGCAGAGGAAAGAACAGACTCTTCCCTGACAGCTTCCAGCAAAACAATTCAGTACTTATTAAATTATCCCATAGCAGAAAATGTAATCTGACAGGCAGGTGATGGGAAGAGAGTCTCAGAGGTTTTCCACATCCTTTTAAATGGATGGCTGAAATCAGGTAATCCACTCTAATTGGATCATGCCTCTCGACACAACACACCCCTTCCCATCCCCAAATGTATTGTCCTAGCAGAAGGGGGGGGGGGAGTAGAGCCACTTCAGGTGTTCTAACCATAATATAGTAGGTTGAATATCCAGGATCACCAAGCAATTACAAGAGATTTAAAAAGAGAGAGTTCAAAAGAAAAAAAAACCAAGAAATTCCAGTTGCCTCCTGAAAAAGCACCTTTGGAACATGATCTGGATGACTGAGAATCTCTAGACTTTTAGCTATACAATTTGGGATGAACACCCTTTGAATGGTGTGGGAGTAGGAATGGATTTCCAGAGGAAAAACTGCAGACTACAGAAACCAGGAGTAATACTCAGGTGACCCTGAGAACACAGATAAACCTCCAACTGCTTCAACCACCCTCTAAAAGGATGCAAAGGTCTAGCTGTCACCAAGGAATATAAATCCTTCCATTCCCCACTGTCCTGTCAGAGCTGAAGAAGCTTCTTGGATAAGAAGCGAAAGTTTTCAAAAGAAAAAAGTCCAGTTGCCGCCTGAAAAATCACCTTTGGGACAACCATGACCTGGAGGATTGAGAATCTCTACAAAGAGATAAAAAAAAAACTACTACAGAGATGGAAAGCAATGATAGGAGAAAAGGAGAAGAAAATAGGCATTAAAAAAAAGCTTTTTTGCAAGAACTGACCAGATCCTAAGGACCATCAAACATTGTATATTGCTTGTTGCATAATATTCTACAAATATGGATGAAAACTGCTGAGAATATGGACTAGACATGACCATAGCAAGTGTGTAGTTTAGCTGTCATGGGTGGACAGGAGTTTACATTTAATAACTATAAGAAATATGCACATGGAGATAACTAAAATGCTGCATCCACTCCATAATTTTTCTAGGTATGTTTTCCTTTCCTTTTCCCCAAATATATTCCCCCGCCCCCAACATCAAAACTAGATGGAGAAAATCATTCAAAGATAAAAGAGGTCATAAAGAAAAGCCCCAGAAAAAGTTCAAGACTTTCAAAATAATCTCTTGCATTTACAAAGGCACATTCCTACTTTCTTTATATGTGACTGAGGGAGTTTCAAACTTAAATGCATTAAACTGCCATAATCACATTTGAGTAAAAGACCAAGCAACTTCACACGATAATTTAATTTGGAAAATTAAAATATTTTTATTAGGGCAATATTCTTCTTATGCAGCCATCTTCTGAGTTTTAAGATAGATGAGTCCAGAGTTGCTTTAATTCGTGGAAAAGAACAAGAGGCAGTAAAATCTCCTGCTAGATACAAAACAAATCGTGTCCATTTGCTGTGTGCCTGTGCTCCGTGCCATTTCAAAAAACTATTGTGGAGGGTAGACTGTTTCTCTCTCTCTTTTTTTTTTTTTACAAAGTAGAGTTTTCAAGGCACTCAAGCCTTGAATAGGAAAGAGGAATAGGAAAGAGATTGCCTCCCCTCTCTTCCTTTAGCATAAACTTCACATCCAACACTCCATGCCAAGAGAGAAGGGCACATATAGTGCATATGCTGCAAAAGATGGAATACGGTAGGCAACCTTACGTATGTTGAAATCAAGAATATTTGAAGTTTTCCTCCAAGAGAATCATGGCTACCTCAGAAAAGCTGACGGCCAACTGGACAGTTGATACACCAACAGAATATTCTCAGAGCTGTGAAATTGTGATAGAGACCTAGTAAACCAGTGGCATTCCATTTCCCTATTCTTTTAAGGTCTTCCTGCTGACAATGCCACATCGAAAAATTGGAAGCCAAGTCACCACGGTACAAAGCAGATCTTTCCAAAGGTGCTTATTTTCAAGAGGCAACTGGACTTCTTTGTTTTTCTTTGAAGACGTTTCGCTGCTCATCCAAGCTTCTTCAGCTTCGACTGGATTGTGGGGAATGGAAGGATTTATATTCCTTGAAGACAGCTGGTCAAATCCTTCCATTCCCCACCACCCAGTCAGAACTGAAGAAAAAGGTTGGGATAAGAAGCGAAACGTCTTCAAAGAAAAACAAGAAAGTCCAGTTGCCTCTTGAAAAAAGCACCTTTGGGACAACCATGACCTGGATGAGGGAGAATCTCCATAGATATAAAGCAGACCTTCATGTTTATTTCAATTTATTGGCTGCTCAACTCCAGTGGGCTTTTTTCTGTGGAAGATATGATCCCAGGCAGTGGTCTATACACATATAGGCTTAGTATTTGGTAGTAGCATGACTTCAGCCTTGTCGGAAAATAAGTTGAGAGAGCCATGAAGATGGCTTGAAGGGTATATTCAGAAAGCATTACGAAAAAGGGCAGAAGCATTCCTTGAGCTCTGGGGGAGAAGATGGCTTTAGGAAGAGATTGAAGTTGGGTCCTCCGTGACCAAAGAGAGTATAGGAGGGAGGGAAGACATAACACAAGCAGCGTTGCAAGACTATCTTCCCACATAGATAAATAAATAAATAGGTATAAATAATTCTATACCTACTTATAAATTCCCAGAAAATTAAAATACAGGCATAGCTTTCCTGTAGAGTTGGTTTCTTGATGTGTCTGCACCCTAGAGCTGATAGTATGTTATTTTTTAACTGGGAGACATTGCTAAGGATAAAGAATTGAGAAAAGTCATGCAGTTATTCGTGGGGCAGAAGAAAAAATCCAAGTAGGAGAATCCATTAAATCTGTCAGAAGGTTGAAAGGTAATGAGGCCTAAGGCTGTTTTTGCCTTTGATAAATTGAAGCCCTCTTTCAGCAGAAAGGTTAGTAAAGGCTATGTATCCTATCGTTTAATTCCTCTCATCCTGCTCCTAAATTGTTATTATCCTTTTGGAATTAGAGGAAAACCAACACTATGTCAGTGTACAAACTCATAGAAGACATCTGTTATGCTGTATCTCCTTTATTTGATCACTGGAGAGAGAAATCTAAAAAATCCTGATGTGCCAGGAAATTATATCACACCTTCACTTTTGACATGTTGTTTAAATGTCTTGTAATCCTAGGACAATCATGTTTCTCTTTTATGTTTACCTTTAGAAGAATTAAGAATTAAGAGAAGCGTGACACATTTTATGCAAAAAATTATCTTATGTGTACATAAATACAGCGTTGATCATAATCACTGAAGGAAGATAGCTATGAAACAGAGAACTACAACTTAATTGACATTATTAGTAAAAAAATAAAACCTTCACAGCACCTAACTGCAGGGGCAAACTATCTCTTTCAGCCAGTGGATATATTTTTTTTAAAAAAGATGAAAAGGTACTTTCATAAATCGGCAACCAAAACCAGTTGAAACATTCCAGAAGCCAAAGAGCATCCTTAAGTGTTCCCTTGTTTTGTCTTTTTTCCTGGGTAGATGAGGATTCTTACAGAATTTGTGGACTACAGCTATGCTACAGGGCCAAGGTGAGAAATAATTTTTAAATAATGAAGCTCGATTCTGGCCCTTCACAAGTACATAGCCTCTCATTTATTCATTAAAAGAGCAAAGAATATCAAATAAAACCCCATGAATTCAGGTTGTGCAAGAAGGGAAGAACTAACAAAGGGGTCTGCCTAGGATTCTACATAATTCGTCTCTGCGGAATACCATAAATTATATCATAGGTAGCCAATATATGAATGCAGAAATGTATTTTTGACAGTTCAAACATCCCCACAAAAGGGGTCAACTGAAGATTATCTGTCCATAACAACCAATAAGGGCACCTCCTGCTCCCATCACAAATGTGCACACATCCTGTTTCAGAGGGGTATAGAAAAGAGACAGGAATACAAGAGGGAGCATCTTATTTTGCCCAAGCAGATAGGATTCAAAGCATGTTTGTTATTAATGACAAGACTTTCTGGTCATTTCATCAGGAAATTAATAAAATAAAATGGTCTATATTAATTGTGAATGTTATTTTATGACAATGAAAAACACAAGAAGCATTTGACTGGTACGTGCAACTATAGTAATAGGGGGAAATGAAATCTGGAAAACCAGCCATTCATTCCTAATGTCTAAACAGCCAGGTTGGAACATATAAATTATTCAAAGCAATGCCTAATATGTATGACCAAACTCTCTAACAATGTGACAGCCGGTAGCACGCACTGGTTTTCCCTTTTCAGATTTTAGCCAAGAGAAAATCCTGTAACAATGCAATATGCCGATTGGGATAAATGATTTCATTGCCATTCTGCTTCCACGTCTCTCTAATGATTTTTCTTTCATATCCAGGGGACAGAATACTGATTAAGCTGGAATCTGTTTTATGCCAGGAGAATCCTTAATGTAGAGGCTGGTGAACTCTGTGGGCTGAATCAGGAATGCCAACTGCTTTTATTTCTATTCATGAATCTTTGGGCAGATTTGAGGAATAACCTCCTTATCAATTAAAGAGCCACTATCATGCAACCAGAGACCAGACCTAATTCCACCATTAACCCTTCCAGAGTTGTGCATATTGGTAAGTGCCTTCATACTGGTTGTTATGGACAGTTAATTCTAAGAGAGAGGGGGAAAAAAACCACACTGTTCACTGTGTTCCCTTCTGGCCTTTACTAGAAGGCCAGAGCACAACAGCATCTCTCTCCCCACCCTGCCTTACGCAGCAGCGCTTGTAGGAGAAACCAGGAATGTCCTAAGTGCTAATGCCAAAGATGCTCAAAGCCATTACCACTGATGTGAGCCTCCTGCACTGCCAGACCTCTATACTATTGACTGTTCCTTGCATTAGCCAAGTCCCAGCAGCACACAATGGCTCTTTAAATACAATTAGTGCTGTTGCTAATGGAAGGCAGTAAAGTTAAGACCCTTGGCCCAAGGCGGAGGAAGATACAGCTGCCACACTACTGCCTCCAGGGTAATCACTGGCTCAGGTCAAGAGAGGTGGCGGCAAGGGAAGTCTTTCCCTGCATTTGCTGCTGCAGAAACCCTTGGCTACTTTTTTTCTTTCTCCTCCTTGCAGCTCTCCGGATTGAAAAGACACTTGCTCATTGGTCTGGCTGTTACCTTGGATTATATTACAACAAACCCCATCTATAGCCATTTTATTTTTTTATTAATTCAGTTAGCCATGATAAAACAGAAATGCGAAGAGAACTTTTAAAAAACCAGGAAGGGAAAGATAGAAATACCAACTGAACTTGACTCTGGAGACCGTACAGTGTCCCAGCTTTCAGCTGTATGCCATTCAGCTCGCCATCTGAAAGGATACAGTGCGCCTGCAACAACACGGAGGCAGAAAACAAGGGATGGCTGGCTTTCTCGATTTTCTTTAGGCGGCATCCTTTCTCTCCAAAGGCAGTAATTGGCTCTGACTAATTACTGTGGTATTGGAAGGGAAAATAGCTGAGGAGGCCAGTGAAAAAAGAAAGATATCCCTATGCCTTGCCAGGTCTTCAGCCTATTGGCCTGGATGAAAATGTCCAGTCAGTCTCCCCTCGGCAGTATAGCTACCATGCCACCTGCAGGAGGGCTAGGGGAACCAGTGTGATGGCTTGAGTATTCCTGGCTAATCAGAGCCAGAGGCAGATTCTGCTGAACTAGGTGGCGTGCTGGCTATCTCCTCCTCCTCAGAGTCCTGGAAGAGAACGAGCGCGGTTAGGAATATGGAAGACAAATAGGATTAGATACATGTTTTACAGGTTCTAAATTAAAAGAATCCTATCCAAAAAGAAAAGCTAGCATTCCCTCCCCTCATCCTATTTTAATGCTCTTGCATTGGGGTTGGCAAATGGTGACAGATGCTGACCACTGGGAAGATGACGTTTGGACAATCATCTCATCCAGTCTGATGGTGTGCAGGCAAGTGAAGTAGTGATGTATTCCACATGTGCTTTCAGCCCAGGGGAGTCCAGGCACAGGGCCACTCCACACACCAAATTGCAAGAGCGTAGCTTTAAAGAGTAAAATGTTCTGAAGTCGATAAAACCCAAGTAAACAGATATTCACGGCTAAATGCAAACCTAATATATTGTCTCAGATCAACAAAGCAATTGGGATTAATTCTGAGTGTCACAATTTACAATTTTTAGAGGGATGTTTACGTAGGTTTTTCTGAAGCAAGCCCAAGCATTAAAAAAGAATCTGGATAAAATTGAGCAGTGCCCTTTTCTGTTTTTTTTTTTTTAAGTTTACAGTCAACATCAAGCATTAGCATTATCACTTAGACTAATATAGTGCTTTACAGCCCTCTCTTAAGCTATTTACAGAGTCAGCCTATTGCCCCCCGACAATCTGGGTCCTCATTTTACTGACCTCGGAAGGATGGAAGGCTGTGTCAACCTTGAGCCTGGTGAGAACTGAATTGCTGGCAGTCAGCAGAATTAGCCTGCAATATGGCATTCTAACCACTGTGCCACTATGGCTCAGCACCCACCTCCACTGTATTTTAAAACTCACCTCCTTCTTGTCTTCGCCTGAGGAACTTTCATCACTGGACACAAATTCCTTGCTCTTGAAGCTCTCACTTAACTGTTTAGGAGGAATCTTGCTAGCAGATTTTACAGGTGTCGCTACCTTCTTCTCTGTTTTGCCTTTTCCTGATTTTTCAGGCTTTTTCTTTTTGGCTTTTTCTCTGCACACATAAAAACACAGACAAGTTTCTGCAATAGCAGAGTCCTTTTGGTTTAGGAGAGATGGGGTCGGGGGAACAACTCTCATATAACTACTCACCTCTTGGAACTGTCCACTTTGCCCCCCTCACTGTAGTCCTTCATGGCCTTCTCATAATCCCTCTTGGCCTCTTCTGCTTTGCGCTCCCATTCCTACAAGCCAAACAGCCAGTTCTACACATCTTGTTTAAACTGCATAATCCCCATTCATACATACAGTAACTGTTAATGCATATAATATTCCTACTAACTCCTGAGTGTATCCTATCCGAATGTCATGGAAACAGAAAGTTACATTTCAAAATCCCAACTTCTTTAAATCAATAGTGTTTTCCCCTTAGGCTGATTTGCTAAGGTTCTGAAGGTCAGTTTCAGACTCAAAAGCTGGTAAGAGATTTAGTACTCCCGTGGGAACGCCTAATGATCAGGAGAGGATTACTCTGCCCTAGAAAGTAAAGATATGCAAAATGTTCCAAAGCAAAAGATTCCAATCTTGGAACAGACTATAGTGTGATCTTACCAGAAATGGACTATCACGAATTAAACACTCAAATGTATCTGGGGAGATAGGCACAGCGCATCAGGGAGTTGAAGCATTTTGATCTTGAAATGGTTGTTTACCTCTAGTGAATAGCAGAAGAGCGCAAAAGTTTAGCAGCTCTGTTAAATCCAGCACAGACTCTCACTGGGTTCAGGAAACCCCTAAATCCTCAGCAATACCAATACAGATCATTCATTTATTTGGTTTAAATCATGCTTAATATTCAGGAGTTCAGGAAAGTGGACACAGTACTTCCCCTCTCCAATTTCTCCCCAAATCAGCTTAAGAGTTGACATAGTTTGGAATGAGAGGGCAACTGGCCTAAAGTCATCCAATGAGCTTCTGGTCAGAAAGTAAGACTGGGTCTCCCCACCCTAGCCTAAGAGTTTAAGTATATAAACTCCCCAGATTGTAGGCAGAAGTCTTTGCCTCTCAGGCTGGTTGCTAATGGGGATTGAGTTTAGTGTGCTCTGTATGCAAGGCATATTCTCTTCCGTTGTGTTTAAAGTCCCCATCAACCATACAATTTCAGAAGTACCTATCGTGCCTCATAACTCCGTCGAGACTTTGGTTCTATTTTTAAAAACTCAAGCATTCAATTGAAGGAATTATGTATCTTTGATCTTAAGTGGCACACAAAAGTCCATATGAAATTTAGTATTCCGGTGGGAATGCCAAATGATAAGAACAGGATTACTGTGCGCTAGAAAGTTAGTATTTTGGGATTTATTATAACACATTTTTTCAGAAAGAAAAAAAATCCCCCCCCCCCCCCACTCATTGTCATCACCCCAAAAAATGGGATTCCGGTCAGCACCATCTCTTGACTCACCTCTTTCTTCTCTTTTGACATTCCTTTCCACAGTTCCCCAGCTTTCTTAGACACGTCAGTGACGCTCATGCCAGGACTGTCTGATCTGATCTTGTCACGATTAGCATTGAGCCAGAGCATATATGCAGATAAAGGCCTCTTTGGGGCATTGGGGTCTTTCCCTTTCTTACCCTAGGAGGGGGTGCAAGAGAAGAGAATTGGAAGAAAAGCACAAATACGTAAGAAAGAGACGCCTTTTCCCCACTCTATCCTACAGATATAGTATTGCATGTTTCTCTTCTGAACTGTTGTGACTTTTTAGGCCTTTACTTTCAAATAAATGGGATAGCCAACTTGTTCCCGATTGTACTCCAGCAGCCCTCTGCTACGTGTTTGGTTCATGGTCAAGACTCTCGCTGAGCTCTTTCCACCCCTGAATGGAGACAGCCTTCCTACAACCATGGGAGGGCAAACTTTACTGAGACCCTTTACTGAATGTGCTGGGAATTTTCAGTATCTATCATGAATGGTCTCAAGAGGGGCTCCATTGGCAAACTGATTGTCAGTGAAAGTGGTCAATCACAAAACGTGCACTTAGAAATATCACTTATAAATCAATATAAACAATTTTTATAAATAACACTTGTAAGGAGCCCCAAACCATTTTTAGCAATTTAATTCATGCTCTAGGGCACAGGTGTCAAACTCAATAACGTCACGGGCCGGATGGTGACGTATCGCGATGTTTTTTGCCTTTGCGGAGCCGGGGTGGGCGTGGCCTGTGCGTGATGTATCCGGCCCATGGGCCGCCAGTTTGACAGGCCTGATCTAGGGGATCAGAGGCAGTTGCACTAGGTGACCTCGATGGTTACTTCTAATTCTGTAATCCTGAAGTTTCTCGGTACATAGAATCCACTTCTTTAGGCCTTCTAAAACTTTGATTATGATACTGAAGCCTCACGAGAATCTATTTCAAAGGTTAATCTCCTCATAAAAAAAGGTAAGGCTTATACTCAATTCATTTTTTACATTGTAATTCAGATATAGTTTGCGAAACCGATTTTGATTTGAGTGTTTTCCTTCATTTAGTTAGTCTTGCTGATAGTGTCTGGAGACAGAGGGGTGTTGCTCAATTAAGTCATATGTGAAGGTTCTCTAACCACCAAACCCTCCAAATTAAGACAGAGGTCAGCTACTCTGAGCAAGATTGAGTCTCCAGTGATCTCTGAGTTACAGAAGAGTGTACTCAGCAGGATACAAGGTTGCTTCTAATTATACTGAATGCAATCATTATCTTGTCGGGCAGACACCGTTAAACATATTAAGTTGAGCTCAGTTTTCACCTCAGACTGTTTCTTGCGGGGCTTCCGTTCTTTAACAATTTTGGCTTTTTTGACAGGTTTTTTCTTCTCATCACTATCCCCTTCATTACTAGACGAACTAGCAGAGGCATTGCTATCAAACCTGTCTCAAGAAAAAGTCAAGAGGGGTGGGTCAAAATTGATCAGCAAAATAAAGGTGCATGTATGCAGTTTCTATTCACAAGTTTGAATAATTTCCTTACCCTAATAAAAAGATCTAATCTACAATTCCTGACACTTCACACCACAGAATCATGTCAAAAACAAATCTTACAAAAAATTCTTCAAGAGATTAGGTACTAGAAGTTTTTTTTTAAGAGTTTACATTTCTACAAATTATTGCTTACACATATACATAGTAGCAAAGGGCACAAAGCCATTACAGATTTTTTAAATAAAACACAAATAGGTTTCATTATATGAAAAATCATCAGGAAAAATGATTTTTTGACTTAATCTTCTATTTCTGCAAGTATTTTTTTCTTTTCAAAAACCCATGAAAAAAGCTTCCAAAATAAGCAAGCAAAACCACTCATAAATATTCCATTCTAGACAGATTGTTTTTCCTGACATCATTTCCTCCAATAAATTATCCAGCAGCTTCAAGGAAAGTATGCAGATTTCTGATGCTCATGATTTTCCTGAAGATGTAACTTTTACTATAACATATGACTCTGTTGTAAATGCAATTTATCTTCCAGAAGAGATTACTCTTCACTGTTGCTTTACTGTAAAGTTAATTTACAATTACACTGTTAGTTGCCCTAAAATTGCAGTTCTGAAAGTTGGCTAAGGAAATTTATTAAATAAACTCCAGTTTTACCTTATTCCTACAATCCTTACAAATTATGGTATTTCTACAGTCAAACTCAACTGTTCTCATTTTTCACTATATTTCTGTAGTCTTTCTTAGAACAGATATTTAATATTTTTCTCTTGGAAATATTTTAATCTTGAGATTTTCCTGTTTCTGCATTCTTAGGTTATCTCAATCATTTTCTAAGACATGAGCAGGCAATTTAGACTTGCAAATACTTTGAACTACAACTTTCCAAAGGCCCAGACTTCAGAATTAACATTCGGAGGTTATAAAGATAATATTTGCAGGGCAACAGGTTGCATATTTTGGTTCTAACATGGTCATAGTGACCTCATGTTCATTGTAAGGAAAAGCAGCACCAGCCTTTCTAAAAATAGTTATTTTTTAAGATTTGTAGCCTGCCTATTATTCAATAACTCAAAATATGATACGAATCTAACGCCACTGATACTACTATTAAACAATGCTAACAACTACCACAATTTCATTAATACACCATAGACATTAAACAAGAGAATCTAACTAAATAGTTATCTTTTTTTAAACTTACTCTTCTGCCACATCTTCCTCCTCCTCTACCGGATTGAATGACTCATCTGGAAAGAAAAAGGAACAGGAAATGCACGGCGTTTCCACTCCCAACTGCAAGTGAAAGCAATTTGGAGAAATCAGGCCAGCCACTGAAAGAAAGCTCACCTGTCTCCTCTCCGGAGTCTTCACTGCTGTCATTCGCATGTTCTTCACGAATCTTGCCCTCCTCTTTCATCCGCTCCAAGTAGGCATCATGGGAGTCTTCATCAGAACCGTCATATTCGTCGTAGGTCACGTTCTTCATGCCCTGGTAACACACACAATGGGTTCCATGGATACGAGCGCAAGGGTTTCACTTGCCGCAAGCAGATAAAAATTCTTCAATCGTATTGACACCTAAAGCATGCAGAGATTCTACACCTGTAGTCCCCCCCCCCCCCACCATGCTCCTAGGCACACAAACTGCAGAGAGAAAGTTTCTGGTACCACAAATTTCGCAGATGCCTCAACAACCAATTACATGCTGCTTCCCAGAATCTGCTAAAACACCCTCTCCCTCCCCAGGGAAAGGGAGGAATCATGCTGGTGACTTTTAACAACTGATTAGATAGAAGCCACTCCTGGAGCAAAGCAGGCTACTGCCCCATCCTTGTGGTTCATGCAAGGTTGTTATACTATGGTGATTAGAAATGTTCACCACAGCCATGCAGAGGAGACCTGAACCAAGAGGAGGAAGAGGAGGGGATAATCGCACAGACCTTTTTCTTCTACAAGGAGAGAACAGAAATTGAGAAGGAAGAAAGCTCTGGAGAGAAAGAGAAACCCCCATCCCACCCCAAGCAGATCAGGAACAGGACTAGATAGCAATTGCCTTTCCTTGCTCTCTCTAGCCCACCCCCTGAAACAAGTACCTCCTTAAGTCCCCGATTCTTGATGTTCAATTTCTTGGCATTCACAAAGTCAAAGAGTTTTCCATATTCTTCTCTGTGGGGAATAGAAATCACAGGTATGTCTGTAGGATTTAGCATAGGACCAATATTCACCTGCCTAGGGCAGAAACCGATCAAACAGGGGCAGTACTATTTTTTGTTGCTAAGGCAGGGAACTGAGGGCAGGGAGAGAAGGGTGGCGGTAGTAATGGTGGAGGGAGAGGAAAAGGATCAAGAAAGATGACGATCAAATGAAAAACAAAACATTTGAAATCATGGGTCACAGTAGCAGACAAGCAATACAAACAGAATTTTTGAATCACAAAGGTTCTGCTAGTATCCTCTGAAATGGGAGACAGCCTATACATTACAAAGCAGCAACTGAGATGGGGGGGCATCCCTCAACAGCTCTGGCTGGATTGGCATTCGCTTACCTCTCTATGCTGCTGAAAGTATACTGTGTCCCTTGCTTGGTTTCTATCTCAAAGTCAAAGGAACGTGTTGTTGTGGTCCCACGAGCAAAGTTGACAAAAGCAATCTCGTCAAAGCGGATGTGAACAGGTGGCTTGTGCACATAGATGAAGCCACGTTCCAAAGGATATAAGAGGCCCGAACTAGCTTTGTAGGAACACGTGATGCACTGGGCTCCAGAATGTCTAGCAAAGGAAAAGAAACATCAATATAAACGTTGTTGAGCCAGATGAAGGCATTTATTAAAAAATACCGAGACAGATTATCAAACTTGGGAGCCCAAGCATCCTTAGTTTATCACCATTTGGCTTAACCTTAGCAATTAAAGAGGAAAAAGTACACAATAGAGGTAGTCTATGTAGCTCATGTAATGACCGCTCAAAGTTACGCCAGCACTGAAAAAAGTGACTTATGACCATTTTTTACACGATGATTGCAACATCTCCTTGGACACATGATAAAAATTCAGATGTTTGGCAACCAAGTCAGATTTATGATGATTGCAGTATCCCAGGATCACGTGATCCCCGTTTGTGATCTTCTGACAAGCAAAGTCAACAGGGAAACCAGTTAGTAACAACTGTGTTACTAACTTAACAACTGGCAGTGATTCATTTGACAACTGTGTCAAGAAAGGTGGTAAAATGGGGCAAAATTCACTTTGCTTAGCAACTGAAAGTTTGTGCTCAATCGTAAGTCAAGGACTACCTATCGACAATCAATAACCTGTAGTCATTACTGTTATTCATTATACCTATCACTCAGATCTTAATGCCTCCTTTGTCACTCCCCTTCGGAACACTGAAAGCTGGTTACTCAAGTTCATTTGTTCCTACAATCTGCATTCCTTACCCCTGAAAGTTGCCTGGTACAGTTATCTTGCGGTTCACGAGGGCTTTCATGACACGACTGACCATCTCATACAGAGACCCAGACATGTTTTTGGTGAGCCGTCCTTCAAAGCGCTTCTCAACTTCATCCCTTTAAGTAGAGAAAATGCCAGTCAAGACAGAGACAGACTTCCCATGCAATATTAGAACATTGAGCTATCAGGTGAGCCTCGGAGTTGAGACCAGTAACAGAGAATAGATGCAGACATGCCCCATTCTAAAACAGCTGACTATGTTGCTACCACATAAACGATGTTTTATATATATATAGCCCGTTTTCACAATTATCTTACATATGTGTACATCCCTTATGAACAAATGCAAGACCAAATACACAGACTGTCAGGTTGCTTAAACAATCTGTGAATCCAGCCATCGCGACCTACTTAACAACCAAGGCCAAAGCAACCATGGCTTCCTGAGGGGTATGAATCTTGATCATATAAGAGTACTTACTCATTCATGTTGAGGGTCAAGGAGATATCCTCATCCTTTGAGAACAGTAGAATAAGGAAGTGATAGCGAGTTTGGCCTTGCTTTATAGGAGGGTCTAAGCTGATCTGGAACAAACAAAGACAGCGGTAAGTATATATATGTGTGTGTGTGTGTGTGTGTGTGTGTGTGTATGTATATATAATGAATGCCAGACCAAAAAAAGCCATTTAGCTATGGGCCAAGTGCATTAAACATGCAGTAGGGACAGTCTCCCAGCATGATAAGAGAATAAAGAGAAACTGAGGAAAAAGCTGCCTCTCTTTCCACTCCCACTATTGCCCCAAAATATAAAAGAAATGCAAGGGCCATCAGACAAATATTATACTAAAAATAGGTAAGTTCCCTTTATTTCCATAATAACCAAGAAGATGGACATCCATCTGGAATAATTAGAAACTGTGAAATCTAGGAGAAAGAGGCTATTTCTGGATTCTTCCTTTCACCAAAAAAGGGATATAAAGGACAAATAATTTTACTTTTGGATTTAAATTAGATATATGTAGTTTAAGCAGCTAGTTTCGCTCACAAAATATCAAATATTTTTTTTGAATGAAACCTATTCCGAGAAACAATCACAGCAATTACTTCTCACAAGAAGTATTTTGACAATGATTTCAAAATTCCTCACCACAAAAAACATTTGGCGCTGATCTTTATGGGGAAGCAAAAAAAGCCGCAGAACAGTGGTATATGGGATCTTGTAATCAAATGTTTTGCCATGGAGGTGCAGGAAGGTAGGATAGATACGGATATCATAGCGCCCACGAGGAGTCAAGCACTGCAGCTCTCGGAAGATACAGATAGCATCTCCAGTAGCCTGGATGACATCTGCCTTTGATAACACATTCTGGGCAAATGCCTGCAACAGCAAGGAGAGTTTTTCAGTTTCATTGTTCACGTGTTGTTCGTTGACAATAAGCGTTTGATTGATTGATTCATGAAAAAAATGTTTCTTCCTCCACTCTGCCACCTCCCATTCATGTTCAACCTACCTCCACGGGGTCTACACCATCCTCCTGAGTGGGTGGCACATAGAAGCGGACCTCCATGAGGGACACCTCAGCATCGTCATTCTGATGGAACTCCAGGGTCACCTCATTCTTGCCAGTGGTGCACTGGGACACGTTACTGAGTGGGATTTCAAAAACTGGTTGCTCCCCAATATCAAAAGAGAGAAGTTGCCCTTGCAAAAAGAAAAAAGAAAAAAGTTTTTACCCCCAACCAAAGTACATCACTTTATTTCCCATATCCTGCTAAGCCCATAATGCGCTTAAGACATCGGCTTTGGTTTTAACTGCTTAACTGCAAAATGCTTGGGGATCTGCATACTGAGGTTTATATAGAAGGGATGGGCAATTTTTCGACTGTTGGAAACCACATTTAATGTGGAACAGCAAGGTTCCAACAAGCAGGAAAATGATACAAAATGGATTGGACATTATCTGAACTGAAATAGCCAGTATTCACCTACAGTTTTGTTGGAGGGAGAAATGGGGAATGGTATTTTTTCTTTTTAAAAGCGTATTTTACAGCATAATTTGTCTCAAAAACGTCTCAAGTAGTTAGCACCAAGGATTGTAAGCTTGGGGCAGCTGCTGCATCAAAAAAGACTGAAAATCAATTGTCCTGGTCTACAGGTTTTAGCATAATAAAGGATGAAAACTGAAGCCAATTGTTGTTTGTTTAACACTACTTAGTCCTATATGTAAGTTCAACTACTACCTCACAGCCAACAACCAATCCCTTCCCCAGAAAACTACAACAAACCCATCTATCATTTTCAATTAGCTATGTCTCCTTGAATTGTTTCCAACTACCAATTTCCATGGAGGTATAGTGTAAAACTCACCTCCAAATTTGACTGTCCCCCAGTTCCAGCCCTTTACACATAGATCTTTCTCAGCAAGATCTAAATGAAAGTGTGTTTTGAAGAAATCTGAAAGTTTGTCGAACTCCTAAGAATAAAAACAGTCAATGTACACACCAGCAAGCTAAAGACATGTAACACAGTAATTTGAATCTAGTCCCTTTGTTTACACTACAGAAATTTACATTATACCCCAGATATGAAATCATACTTACAGTATAAGCCCTAAACTATAATATTAAGAAACGTTATGTGGGTGTTGAGCCATTTAAAAAAATCTGTGTATTTTATCACTAGCACTTCCTACAACAAATGCAAAAAACCCAACAAAAACAAAACTACACTCTCTTTGAGTTAAAGTGGGCTATTGGCAACTTGCATAGATATAACTATGAAATTTCCCAGGCTTAATAGAAAAGTGATTTGCCATTCTTTCTTTCTTTCTGGGTTTTTTCAGAATCTCTAGGTTGTCTCCCACATCCAATTACAAAATAGGGCCAACTCTGTTTAGCTAGCCAAGGTTAGCTAGGTGCTGCCACCAGCTGAGGCAAGAATCTATAGTTAAATAGGAAACAAGAATTGCTGCTACAAATGCCATTCATATTAAAAACAGTATTATAAGATCCAAGGTTGAAAAACAACTGATGTAATCAGATTAGTTATCTAACTGCAAAATCTCTTGCTACAGTGAACACTCTAGTGCAGAGGCATCAAACTGGATTTCTTTAAAAGCCGGATCAGCATTATAGTTCTCGTCCACGGAACGGCAGGGGTGGGCAGGGAGCAGGGGGAGATGGCACAGATGCCTCCTTCAGCACTTTACTGGCCAAAATGAGGCATTTTGGGCAGCAAAGTGCTGCTGCAGGCCGTGGAGGTCAAAAATGGGCCGCACGTCCCCCGTTTTCCGGCCCATTTTTGCCAGCAGAGGCACTGCAGGCCGGTCCTTTGATATTCCCAGGCCAGCCCCACGGGCCGGATTTAATCTCCCCGCGGGCCGAATCTGGTTTGCAGGCATTGAGTTTGACAACCCTGTTCTAGTAGTTTTTAAAACAACTTATCTTCAGCTGCCTATCTGATTAAAGCTCTGCATTCTTCTCTAATGCATCTTGTTCAAAAACAAACCTGCATCAAAAGGGTCTTACCGTCTCTCTGAACCCATCATACTTGTAGACATGGCCACTTTTAGTAAGCAGCTTGAGGCCATGTCCCAATGCTACTCGCCTCCAGACACCCTCTGCCAATTCTGAGGCCTGGATGTTGTCAACTTTCCCAGTTTTGCTGTTCTTAAAAATCACACCTTGACGGTTCAGCCGCAGACGGCCATCATTCTAGTGCAGAACAGAAAATGTCAGTAAGAAAACAATAGTGAATGGCAATAGCTGAAGGCAAAGGATGGTACCTAACCTTTTTACACAAAGGAAAAACAGATTTCTATTTAAAGGAGGAATAGACTATTTTCTCATCTAAATTAAAAAATAAAACTTATCCCTAAGTAACTTCATTCTTTCAAGAGCCTCTAAGATCCTCTTTAAAATTTAGAATCATTGGCAGTAAGCATATACATCCATATAGATAAGCAATTGAAGGAATATGCACACATAATGCAAAAAACTAATTTTTCTGGAGAAGGAGATAATGCTGAGAAAGGTGAAGAGGGAAGAGGACAACCAGCAGCAAAGTGGATGGATTCGGTTACAATGATGATGAGTACACCACTGAAAGACCTGGACTCAATTAATTTAATACCACATAATTTATCAATCAATCAAGTTATAGAAATTTCTTCTAACATTATGCCCAAATAATGAAGACGCATCAGACTACATTTTTAATATACGGGTATTCCTTGACTTAGGACCACTTATTTAATGACCATTTGAAATTTCAAGACTGAAAAAAGAGACTTATGACTGTTTTTCACAAGACCATTGCAACATTCCCCATGGTCACATGATCAAAATTCAGATGCTTGGCAACTGGCTCATATTTATGATGGTTGCAGGGTCATGTGATCACCTTCTGCAACCTTCTGATAAGCAGTCAACGGGGAATCCAGATTCACTTAACAGCCATCTTACTAACTTAAAACTGCAGTGATTCACTTAACAACTATGGCAAGAAAGGTCATAAAATGGGACAAAATTCATTTACAATGATCTCACTTAGCAACAGAAATTTGGAGTTCAAATGTGGTCATAAAATTGAGACTACATATATGCTAGATCCCACCTAGATTGGCCATGAAGAATTCAATACCATCGATGTCAAGCCCGAAATTGATATATGTGTAACCATTTTAGTTAGGCTTAGTATATATTCTTTTTCTTACTTTCTCTGTGGCAGTCATGGGGGGGGGGGGGGGGGGGTTTCGGTCTTGCCCCATCCCTAAGGGGGGGGGGGTGGAGATAGAGAGTTGTTTTGGCTAGGTGATTCTTCTTCCCGTGGGAAAACGAGCTCTCCGTGCTTAGGCCCCTTGAGGTGGAGATTTATGACATCAAGCAACGTTGAATTACTTCTATTAGAGAATGTGCCTTTTGGGGGTTGTTTCTAACTTTTAATATTGTGGGGTAATTCCGGGTTGTGTCCGATCTGGAATTACCATGGACTTTGCCAATTTGATGCTTTCCTAAATAAAAGAAATTGTCTTGGAGGATGGACTTTGTTCTTTTTCAAAAAAAAAAAAAGGGATTTCATCACTTGGAAAACTGAGAATCGACACCTAGGCTACAGACAGTGGCTTTCTTGTCAGTTAGAATATGTAAATGTTTTTGCAGACCAAAATAAATGTTCTTCCAGACCTAATACAGTGTACCATTGTTCAAAAAAGGAACGTAGCAATAAAACATGACAATTGTTCCTATTTGGTATCCGGGGCACCTTCATTATGTCTATACTACTACTATTTTTTTCAAGATATTATACACATCAATAGTATGTTTATTCAATTAGAACTCTCCCCCATACATCATACAATTTAAAGTTGTAACTTTATAGGTAGCCTTCCTTTCACGTACATAAAAAATAACAGTTTTTAAACAAATGATTCAATGAAATGGAGAACATATATTATCAATGACAAGTGTCACAAATTTATTAGAATTAAAAATCAACATTAACATACTCAGGAAGAGAGAACTATTCCTAGAAATTAAGCTAATACCAAAACAGTAGCACTGAGATACAGAATACAGGCATTCCATAACTTATAACCACAACAGAGTCCAAAATGTCTGTTGCTAAGTGAGACATTTAAGTGAGTTTTGCTCCATTTTACAACCTTTCTTGTTACAGTTGTTAAGTGAATCACTGCAGTTATTAAGTTAGTAACATAGTTGGTAAGTGAAACTGGTTTCCTCATTGACGTTCCTTGTCAGAAGATTGCAAAAGATGATCATGTGACCCCGGAACACTGCAACCGTCATAAATATGAGTCAGGCTGCCAAGCACCTGGATTCCAATTATGCATCAGGATGCTGCAACAATCACAACCATGTTACTAACTTAAAACTGCAGTGATTCACTTAACAACTGTGTCAAGAAAGCTCATAAAATAGGTAAAAATTCCCAGTGTATGTGTGGAAAATGGTCATAAGACACTTTTTCAGTGCTGTTGTAGCTTAAAATGGTCTCTAAATGAACCGTTTTAAGTCTAGGACTACCTGTACTATAACAGAAATGATTCAGGATTTTTTAGAAATTTGGGCTATTTTTAAATTGAGATAAGCTAACTTAAATTGGTTTCCTGTGCATTTTTACAATGATAATATCCAGAAATGCCATTACTCTAGTCAGTTAGGCACTAGCAACATTAAACAATTAAAAAGATCTTAAGATAAATGTGATTACCATTAGCAATTTCAAGATAAATTTTAGTAATTAAGCTATTGTAGCATCATGGATTTCACAATGCCTAAATCAGAATTCTTGAGGTGAGGTCTGTTCTTACATAAAATGGTATGTTATCTCCAAACCTAATCTTTATCCAGACATATAAATGTGTCTCGTTTAAACCAGTTTCCATGCCCCACTCCAAATCATCCAGATCTACCTATTCAGAAATGTTTACTAAATCCACTCACCATAGATCCCTTCACTTCTTGGTATATTTCATTGAACTCCAATGTATCTGCCATGTTGACAGCTCCCTGCCCACTATGGCAGGGGCTGGTATGAGATCCCTAAAGTATCCTGTTTGGAAGGTGTTTTGCCAGGAATCCCACAGGACATCAAGCAGGAGTCTTAGTGACTGGCATATTCTACCACGAGAGAAGCAAAGGAAGCCCCAAGAAACCAAGAACACCGGATCTCTTCTTCCCCACCCCCCCGAAATCTGGAAAGTAGATAGAGACACACAAGTGTTTACTTCCAAAATAAAAACAAGTTTCCCTCTACCGTCGCAAACTGGGCACTCTCTTCCTGTGGAACAAGGGTCTTCAAACGTGACACCTTTAAGACTTGGGGACTTCAACTCCCAGAATTCCTGAGCTAACATGACTGGAGGAGGAATTCTGGGAATTGAAGTCCACAAGTCTTAAAGCTGTCACGTTTGAAGACCCCTGGTGTAGAACCAGATCTTAATAACAATATCCCAATTTCAAAAAAATTAAAAAAAAGTCAACGTGGGATCTTTACTAAGTTGTCCCAGTGGGAGCCCAAATTGACCGGCCTTACCGCCCCTGGCCAGTTCAGAAGTGAGTCACTTTATTTGGAGCTACGTGCAGCCCTTTTGCCCCACTTGGGAATGCTAGTTCCCCTGCCACCCACCACCCACCCCGCCTCCCAACACAGTGGACAGGCGCCAGTAGGGAGAGCCGGATGTCAGAGGTCGCTGCTCTACGGAGCGCAGAGACGTAGATAACGAAGCCCGCCTCCACCACCACAACACCGGCCATCGGTTTCATGCCCACCCGTGTTACAGCCTCCGCGATTCCCGGCCCAAAGCCCCGCATCGCTCACCCTTCCCTCGCCCTGTTTCCCGCCCGCGCAACACGAGACCCAGGCAACCCCTTCTACTCGCCACCGGAAACCAACCTCACTTCCGCCTCCCGAAGCTAAAGACCGACCGTCGCTCCGGCGAGGCTTCGGGTGGGCGTTTTTTCCTGCGATGCTACGCTTCCGATCGAAAATGACGGCTCTTCTACGCCACGTTTCTCTATGAAAGCAGAACGATGCCACTCTAGCCCTTTACGTCTCTGTGGCCAAAGTTTTCGGAGCGCGGTCGGGTTTTGATTAAAAGCGCCCCAAACTGGAGTAGGATTTCAGGCGCGGGGGGGGGCGGGGGGCGGAGCATTAAATCTTTGCTTTCCTACGATTTGAGGGGTTGGTAGTTGAGAGGCGTCGCGATTTTCTATAGGCACTGGGGAAAGGGTACTTTGCCTTTCTCCTCTCATTTTATGGCAAGGACCGCAGCCTCCCGTCCTTAGGCTCAAAACCATTCTTAAATGAAAGCATTTTCCTGCTTTCTCTGGCTCGGAAAGTTGGAAAGGTGATTTGCCTGAAGGCTGTGGGCTACTGAAACAAAATTTTGCCTAAAGAAAGTTAACAGGCAAATAAGTAATATTGCAAAAATGAATGTGTAAGGCATCAAGCTGTTCTTTGTCAGATCAAGCAACATTACACAAGTGTGTAGAAAAGAAATAAGAAATAGCTGAAGAAATTAAAAAGCTTAAGAAAATATAGCAGGGAATAGAACAGAAGAGTAGAATAGAACATAACTTTATTGTCACTTTAAATGTATTGTACACTAATCAGCATACATTAAAATGAATTTTCGTTGCATTCAGCTCTCAAAGGATAACCATTATGCATATACCCACATACATATATGGCACAGAGAAACATCACAGTCTATTTAGAATGTATACATATACACGGCAGAAAAAGAATCCTAGGAGTTTACAAGATGGATGACATAGGGAACAAATCTGTTACAGAATCCAGAGGGGAGCAACAGAAATAGATCATGAAGTGGGTGTGTGAGGTCTCTAACAATGCTTCGAGCTCTAAGCACATAGCAGTATCCTGAATAACAGGAAGCAAGCTTCCTATAAACTTCTCAACTGTCCTTACCATTCTCTGTATGGACTTTCTATCTGAGGCACTGCTATATCAAAACAAACAGTGATCCAGTTTGTTAAAATGTTCTCAGTCATGCCTCTGTAAAAAGTGGCCAGGACAGTAGAAAGATGTGCTCTCCTCATCCAACACAAACGCTGGTTTGCATGCTTCACTAAAGATAACATATGAAGAGACCAAGTTAAGATTGTTAGTTATCTGCACCCCCAGATACTTAATACTGTTGACCACCCCCACAGCTGCAGCCTTGATGCAAAGTTGAGTATGATTATGCTGACTCTTTCTAAAATCAACAATGATCTCCTTTGCTTTAACATTGAAATCTGGGCTATTTTTATTGCACCACTCCACAAGAGCCTTTTCCTCTTCCTTATATGCATCTTCATTGCCATCTTGGATAAGACCCACCACTGCCATGCCATCCACATACTTCACAATATGATTCGTAGCAGATCTGGCACAGCAGTCATGGGTCATCAAGGTGAACAGTAGCAGACTCAATACAGACCCCTGTGGGGTACCATCTCCGTACTCAAGGAGATGGAATTAGAAACTTTTCTTCCAACTCACACAAACCCGGGGCCTATCAATAAGGAAATCAAGTATCCAGTTACATAAAGAAGGATTAAAACCTAATAGGCCCACTTTGTTCACCAAATGCTGAGGAATGTTAAAAGCTGAACTAAAATCAACCAACATTCACATATGAGTAGAGTAGAGGTAGATATGGTTTGCATCAACATCTTTGGCTGTAGCTCTTCACTATATATCAGCATGCTGACATCACACCCATACATCACTACTCGTTACAATGTTTATTTTGTCTTTCAATGTCTTGTTTCTCATTTTCAGGATTTTACTAATTCCATTAGTCTATAACAGAGGTCTCCAAACTTGGCAATTTTAAGACTTGTGGGCTTCAACTCGAATTCCTCAGTCATCAAAGCTGGCTGAGGAATTCTGGGAGTTAAAGTCCACAAGTCTTAAAGTTGCCAAGTTTGGGGACCCCTGATCTATAACTTTCTTGTCCATCTTCCATTTCCTCTTTCCCCCCTTCCCCTTACCTTTATATATTTTTCTGTAAGTTCTGACTCAGTTTCGCTGTATGGCTAAAAACTACTTTAAGATATTTCTTCCATACCGGTCGCTCACTTTTGCATTCAATTCATATTCATTCATCACCTATTTCTTCATTCATTCTTGACTCATTCTTCATAAGTACCCCCATTCCACTGCATTCAATGTTTCTTTTTTCCTGATGTGCCAGACTTTCTATAAACAAAGTGGGCAGAGAAACATTTTTACTACTTTAAAAAACAATTCTTCACAATAGACCATATACAATCCATTATTTTTACTAAGGTCTGCACATCTTAGAACCTTTACATTCCGTTTTCCATTTTTAAAAAACATTCACTGAAGTTCAAGCATTTATGCAAGTCTTTTTGCCATTTATGTAACACTTGCAGTCAGTCACAGATTTTGTTGTTGAATACAACTTAAATAATAAAGGTGAGATATGTATATGTACACGTACATATACATGTATATATTCTGGTAATTGATCTGTCAATTCTAAGATTCAAACTCCTTGTTGCATCAGACAGTCCATTTAAAGTTGGCTACTACCTTACAGTTTCAGTCAACAATAGAAAATTGCCTGCGTACAAAGATACAATTTATATCTCCAACCAACACACTTTTAACATCGCTACAGTATATATTTATCCATCAGTACATTAAAGAAGTTAGGAGACATCATACATTTTTGTCTTATTCCCCCTTCAGAATAGATCCATTCACAGAAGTATTCCATTTATTCTCATGCATTATATATTTCCAACATACGCTGCTCTTCCCATATTCAGCTAACCTTCAACTCCATTTTGGCAAAACATTCTATAATTCAAGTCTTTTTCTCTAAAGCAACAATCATTTATCATACCTATCACTATTGGTACTATCTTTGCTTTCATTTGCCACAGCCATCTTACATGTATTTGTAGGTCTTTGTATTTGGTGACTTTCTACAGAGGTTTTGTTTGTTTGTTTTTGCTTCTAGTCTGCTTTCTTTACCTACTGCACCATCCACTATCCAGACTCTTATGTCTTTTTTTACGAACAGTTGTTAAGTCTTGGGTCCAGGGGTGGGATTCAAACTTTTTAACAACCAGTTCTGTGGGTGTGACTAGGTCGGCATGGTTAGGTACGCATGGTCATGTGACTGGGTGGGTGTGGCTTCTTTTTGCAACCCCCCCCATTTTTTCCCCTTCTGGGCCTCTGGGGAGCGTCTGGGGGGGTGTTTTTGTTCCCAGAAGGCTTCTCTGGGACTCAGGAAGGAAAAACGGAGCCTGGGGGGGCACAACACCCCCTCTGTGCTCCATTTTTGAGGCTCCTGGGCCTCAGGGGAGCCTCTTGGGGGGGTGTTTTTGCTCCCAGAGGCTTCCCTGGGGCTCAGGAAGGCAAAGAATGGAGCCTGTGGGAGCGCACAGTACCCCCTGCGCTCCATTTTTGAGCCTCCAGGGCCTCAGGGGAGCCACCTGGGGAGGCATTTTTGAATTTTCTCTTACTCTCTGGCTTCCATTACTACAACAACTAGTAGTATTGTTATCAAAAATAATTCCATGTAACATCATCTTCCGGTTTGTTGGCTTCGCGAGCGGCAGGGATTTGCAACTCTGCGCGATCCCTGCCGCGCTAGCCATTTTTGGTGCTCCGATCCGGACGGGTCCGGAGCTAGGCTACCCTGCAGGGGTAGCTGAAGATAGGGGGGATCCGGAGAGGGGTTTGGGGGTGTTGCAGACCCCCTCCCCGGCTGGCAGAACCCTCTTTTCCCAAGACGGTGCAGCGGCGGTCCGCAATGGCCGCCACAAAGAAGCTGGCAGCTGGGCAAGTATGCGCAGGAGGAAGAGGAGAAAGCCTTTGAGTGTGAAAGTTTTCTTGGTTGATCCAGGACTCTAAGATACATTTAATATAATTCCTGGAAATTATGGCTTTTTGGATGATTCTTTCCACAAGAGAAAATAAGCGGCAATTTTGAGGTGCTGAAAGGAAAGTTTATTCTCCCTCCCGACGGAATTAATAAGTGGATATTGAGAAACCTGTTTTTTTTTTTTTTCAGGTAAAAGTAGTTTTATGTGATAAGTCGGAAGGGAGAGGACAAAAAATATATTCATCTGGTCTGATTTTGTTGGAGGAGATGCCTTAAGGATTTGAAGACAGAAATATAATTCCAATAAGGCTTTAAAATACAGATTTGGATTTTCTTTTTTCTTTTGTCTGATACTACCCCTGGAAGAGAAAGGGAGAACTTTGTCTTGGCTTGGATTGATTGAGGATTTTGGGATTGCTCTATTTTTTTTTTTTTTTTTTTTTTGAAATATTTTGGTTGGTGTAAGAAAAAAGAGGGAAAAAAGAAAAGAAAAGAAAAGATCTATAATGGCTTTTTCTTTTGAGGAACTGAGGGAAGAATATGAGCAAACAAAAACAGACAGCAAAGATGGTATGGAAAAAGCCTTCCTTTTTTTAGAAATGGCGCTGGTTAACTATCAACAAACAATACAACAGATGGAGGCACAAGAACAACAAGAAGAAGAAGACGAAGAAGCCATCTTTAATGAATTTCAAAATTTAACTAAGAAAGAAGGAAGGAAGAAAGCGAGGAAAATGAAGGATTTAAGATTTAAAAAAACATTCAAGAAAGAGAAAAATAAGATGCAAAATAAATATAATGATAGTAAACAAAAGAAAAAGGGAACACAACAGAGAAGGGATGCCAGCAAGGCAGAGGCTAGAAGAAGGGGGGGTAGGAAGATTTGGTGGGGGAAGAAAGAAAGGGGAAAGGTGGAGAAAAGCCACAAAGTTTTGAAATTAGATGGGAAAAGAGGAATTTTTTTTAGGGACAAAGGGTAAAGTACAATTTCTTTAAAAAAGATTTTGCAAGGTACATAAGAGGGTATTGTAATATT